CTCCCCCACACTGTGCATTACCCTCCCCCAGCTCTGTGTCAGCCCTCCACACTGTGCATTACCCTCCCCCAGCTCTTTGTCAGCCCCCCACACTGTGCATTACCCTCCCCAGCTCTGTGTCAGCCCCCCACACTGTGCATTACCCTCCACCAGCTCTGTGCTCGTCCCCCACACTATTTTACCTGCCGTCCCTTGCTCTTTGCAGTTTTCACAAATACAGGTTTTGGAGCATCTGTGCTACAGAAAGACACAAAATCTTCACAGGGAGTAGTTCCTGGTTGGTTTTTAGCAGCCTTGGTGCCCCTTGCCTTCTTTTTAGGCATCTCAGCGCCCTCCGCTTTACGCAGAGTTACTTGGGTTGTCTCAGTGCTTGCTGCCGTCTGTTTATTCACCCGTTTATTCTTTTGCATCACAGCGCCCCCAGTCTTCTGATTACTCACGGCAGCGCCCCCAATCTTCTCTTTACTCACGGCAGCGCCCCCAATCTTCTGATTACTCACGGCGGCGCCCCCAGTCTTCTGATTACTCATGGCGGCGGCGCCCCCAGTCTTCTGATTACTCACGGCAGCGCCCCCAATCTTCTGATTACTCACGGCAGCGCCCCCAATCTTCTGATTACTCACGGCAGCGCCCCCAGTCTTCTGATTACTCATGGCGGCGGCGCCCCCAGTCTTCTGATTACTCACGGCAGCGCCCCCAATCTTCTGATTACTCACGGCAGCGCCCCCAATCTTCTGATTACTCACGGCAGCGCCCCCAATCTTCTGATTACTCACGGCAGCGCCCCCAATCTTCTGATTACTCACGGCAGCGCCCAGCATTTTCTGTTGCATCACTGGGACTTCCAAAGTCTTGATATCAGAAGATAGAAGAAGTGCTCTCTGTTGGGGAAATGCAAAGAGATCAGTGGGTATTCAGTATGACAAAAATGCAATAATCAACATAAGCCAATTCTTGGACACATACCCGGCTCCGCCCCCGCTGTTGGAGGACCCACCTCCTCCTTGTCAGTAGGCCTGCCCGGGAGGAGAGCGCACTTAGCCCTAATGTGATGAGACCCCTTCGCCTCCTTTTCTTTAGTTTAACTCTCTCAGCCAGAGAGAAGCAGGTGTGGGACTCTGACGCCTGGGGCAGTTCCATTGCTGTGCTTATGGTGTCCTTGATGGCATCCCCATTCATTTCTGGATGTGAGGGTTCCTCCACCTTTCTTTGCTTACGTTTTTTCTTGTTTGGAGGAGGGCTCACAGATTCTGTGGAGTTTGAAACGTCTTTCTGACGTTTCCTCTTTGGGTTCTCAGCCCCGTCCTCACTAGGATCTGGTGACAAACAATGAAATCTCCATGTTGGACACACATTCAGATACTTATCTGCAAATAGTGCAAAATACACTCAGGGGACACTGTTCTGTAAATACATAACTGCATGGACAAAACACAACATCAATCTCACTTCAGATCTGCTTGAAAAGATAGCTGCTAAATGCAGCAACATACAGAGCACCTGCTGAGATTAATAAAATGAGTATTATTGGGCGGCTTACTATCTAGTAATTATGCGGATAGTTTGGGTAAATTATAGGCGGTGGATTATCTACCTGTTGTCCCACTTGGGGACCAGATTAAGCAGCAGGAGCCAGTTATGCTCCCATGCATTTACTTAATGCAGAATTTCCCTGCATTAATTTTGTGACTTTTATACTCTAAGTCATCTGAATGAGCTGGTTACGGTTTTGCAATAAAAAGATCAGCTTAAGGCAGCGGTTCTCAAACTGTGTGCCTCAGCGCATGGGCACCGCAAGATATTTTCCTTGTGCTATAATAGCACCGGGAACCGTGCCTCCCTCTCCCCTGCAGGACAGATCAGAGATCGAATGTTGGCAGCTGTCAGGGGAGGGAGAGATCGAATGTTGGCAGCTGTCAGGGGAGGGAGAGATCGAATGTTGGCAGCTGTCAGGGGAGGGAGAGATCGAATGTTGGCAGCTGTCAGGGGAGGGAGAGATCGAATGTTGGCAGCTGTCAGGGGAGGGAGAGATCGAATGTTGGCAGCTGTCAGGGGAGGGAGAGATCGAATGTTGGCAGCTGTCAGGGGAGGGAGAGATCGAATGTTGGCAGCTGTCAGGGGAGGGAGAGATCGAATGTTGGCAGCTGTCAGGGGAGGGAGAGATCGAATGTTGGCAGCTGTCAGGGGAGGGAGAGATCGAATGTTGGCAGCTGTCAGGGGAGGGAGAGATCGAATGTTGGCAGCTGTCAGGGGAGGGAGAGATCGAATGTTGGCAGCTGTCAGGGGAGGGAGAGATCGAATGTTGGCAGCTGTCAGGGGAGGGAGAGATCGAATGTTGGCAGCTGTCAGGGGAGGGAGAGATCGAATGTTGGCAGCTGTCAGGGGAGGGAGAGATCGAATGTTGGCAGCTGTCAGGGGAGGGAGAGATCGAATGTTGGCAGCTGTCAGGGGAGGGAGAGATCTAACCTGCAGCTTCACCAGGTTCTCCTCTCGCGAGCTTGGAGCGTTCCCGCATTTACCATAGCAACTCTCCGAATCACGCGAAACTGAACCACCAGGGAATAGTACTGTCCCCCCTCCCAGGAAAAGGTAAGGAGACCCACAATAACTCCCCCTACACACGCACACTGTACCCCTCATACAACCAGCCTCCCC